GGCTCAATCATACAGAGTGTAAAAAACTTGGGCCATGCAGACCCCCTCCCAAAAGGTTACTGAGGAGCCCTGATGAATGTCCTATGGCAAGACATTCAACAACATTTGCCACCCTCAACCCAGATGTAGTAAGTGGGTACCTGGTATGATTTATTCTTTGATTGCTGGGATAATAATATACATGTCTCTTGGAAGCACGTAGAGATGTTATAATATGCGCTATACTCAACATTATTACTATAAAAGGCTAGCAGAACATATAACCTCAGATTACCTCTGACCAGTCAAGGAGCACAAACATGAGAATATTCAGTAATCTGAGTGTATTCTAATAAAATTCCATTAATGCACAATGACCTTACTTTAATAATTAATAGCAAAACTAACTAAAAATAATGAATACACGCCCTGAAGTGGTGATTGATGATTCTTTGTTATTGCAGCATACTTGTCAATAAAGCACTTAATAAAACTAAATTTAACACAACAGTGTACAAAGAGTCAATAAAGCTTTGTGATAAAGTACCACAAAATCTTTCACAAGCTTTTATTGTTTAAGAAGGTTTTATGATGAATTGATTTTAAATATTTTCTTTGTACAAACAAGCAATGCCATATGATCACAAATTTAGGATGCAAAAATCACTTTTCATGACCTTAACTATATTAATCATACAAAATTTTGATAACTATCAGGGGTAAAAAATCATTTTGCACGCTACCCGGTTTTTAGGTAAACAAACCCCATATGTCAGGAGATTATTATCAGCATATTCAATAATTTTTCATCATTTCAGCACTGGTGTCACTTGGGGAATTTTAGTTGTAATAGTACTCATGTATCATGTCAAATGAGAAAATTAATGAGCCAGAACTAGGTTCGCATTAAACCGGATTTCGAAACGGTTATGGTGGAGCACCGTAATTGGTTGAGTCAACTCCAAAGGACCAGTAATTTGACAGATAATGGAAGGACTCTGTGACATTTGTATTTGCACATGATCAATCACTCCCGATTTTTTGGCTCGTTTCTAACAAGCTTTCTTTTGTTTCGCTTGTTTCGGAGAGTAAGCAATAACATTCTGTCATGTCACAGATTCGTTGTAAATGTTGCTGAAGAGGATATTCTCTTTCTCCTGTTGCTGTAAATGTTTTATTTCATCTTTTTATCTTCTTCCTCCTTCCCTCCCTCACTCTTTTCCATCTGATCATCTTCTGTTTTTTCTACAATGCTCCTTCTCATATCACTTTTTTCATTAAGAAGTGATAAAAATACGCAAGGGCACAGGGTGTTTTCTGATCGTATGAAATACCCCTCTGTAGGCCTTTAAAATGTCCCTAATATTTCTTCTTGAGAACTATTTTCTTGCTTAATTTTATTGAAAATGTATCCAAATATTTCATTATTCCCTCCCCATTTGCAATGTATCTCTGTTACACCCCCTCCCTCCCCTCCCCATCCCATTCAAGAAGAACTTATTTATATGCACTGATCATTAAACTATTCTAAAGGGGGGGGGGGGGGTATCATATCAAAGTTAGCCAAAACAAAGTCCGACAAAGCAACAACAGAAATGAATCAATACACAAGGCGCCAAGATTTCATAACTTCGCAATAAGTATCCCAACTAGTTGTCAGATTTTTGAAATTGCTGATGGATCTTCTAATTTGTCTAGATATAGACAATCAAGCAAAACTTTATACAAAAATCGGCACTCTTAAAGATTTTCATACAGCACACAAATTCAAACTGCAAACATAAATAATGGAGGTTGGGGGTTGGTCACATCCCCCCCCCCTCCCCCCCCCCCCCCCCCCCCCCCCCACTAGCGATCGATGCCCCTGACCAAGATGACTTTGGTTTGAAAGTTTTAAGAGGACAAGGTACACAAATTCTTGACCTTTTCTTTCTCATTACGATTTGAATGATTGGAAACGAAATTAACCTGAATGGAATTAGCACAACCTCTTAAACTGCCCCACAAGGACAGTGAGTGGGCACTTTTTCATAATTCTTGTCCCTTTTTATTTCGAGATGAAGACCAGATAACGTTAACAAAAACTTGCCCTGACATTTAAAAGGAAATTGGGGTTGATGTGGTTCTGGCACCCCCTCCCCACCCCTAAATGCCAGCCACAATATGGAGATAATTGCCTCTTGTCATTTTTCATGCTCAAATACAATAAAGTTAAGCCATCTATTTTCAAGTTTCTATCAAACACTGCAGGTTTCAACATTTCAAACGTTGGCAATGATTCTTAAGTCTAATTTTTCTGACTCCCGAGACAATAGTTACATCAGACCTCTCTGTCAATGTCAAATAACATTTTGTCATTCAATTTTTTTTAATCACAAACACAACTTTCCCCCATAACAAATGTTGACAACTTCTCTAAATGTCATTTTAATTTGTTTGTATTTCCCTTGACAACAGAATTAGATATGGAATTTTTGGAGGCAATGCAGTAAAAGTTCCTTGTCATTCTCTCCATGTTTTTCTTCATCAAAATAGCCCAACCAGAGGCTGTATCCCCTGTAGCAAAGCCGGGTTACTGTGTCAAATATTGGTAGCTTACAGGCCATATACTGTCATTCCAAGAGTTTACCCTTAGACAGAGATTTACACTAATGAAGGAAATTAAGTTATCCCCAGACTAATTAATATATATTACTTTGAATGAGTAGACAGATATCAAATGATTAGACAAATCTTTTATCTCCCTAATGAGCATTCCTTTTGATTTATCTACGAATGAAGTACTCGTTCTAAAGAGTATTTTCTTAAATATTATTCTTCTTCTTGCAATAACATGGCATCAATAATGGCATCAGAAGTAGAGAGAAGTATTGATTTAAATCATTAATTGCTTGAATGATGGCTCCGAACTGAAGTAGATCTGTTTGGTCCAGAAGCCATTTTTCTAATCAATAATCCAATATTTACTAATTGGAAATTACACAAATCTAATCACTTCCAATTGATGTACATTATCAACATTTGTTGTCATCTTATCAATTATGATTAGGGCTAGACTCTTAAGGAGTGTTATTTCTTTTATTCACACCAAAATTTATCTTTAAATATATTGATACAAGACATGTTTAGTAGCTTTGTAAACATGTTTTCTTATCTGAATACATATTTTTTTGAGATAGAATCTAAAGAGCTGTGAAACACAGTGACATTTGGGCATCAATATCTTATCAATTTCATCCTCTTATTAACTTTAAAAGGTGAACACTTTCAAAGCGGAAGCCATAAAATCTATTTTAAAAAATAAAAAATTCAATACCTAAGGTGTCATGCAGTTATATGGGAAAGAATAAAGCTGAGCTGTGAATACTTTGCTGTATTCATTTGTTAATTTTTTTTCTCGGAGAAGCCATATAATCTAGAAAATGAAAAAATTCTCAATACCACAGGTGTCATGAAGTTATAGGAAAGAGAATAAAGGTGAACAATAAATACATTTGCCGTATTCACTCAACCTTCCTGTAAAGTAAACAACGAAATTGGGTAATCTTTTAGGCACACACCAACATAAGGCTTCCCTATCAAAGTTATTACAACTGTGACAAATGAGATACCAAATTTTCCTTTATTTCAATCAACCTTCATTCAGCTTGGCACTGGATAAAAAAAACATCCTAATTCTATTTGCAAAAGGAAATAAATCTCTTCTAAAAGGCCAATCCGATGTCAAATTAAAAAGTGATGAGGATAAAACCTATTTCATTCATGACTTTTTTTCACATTGAAATCAGCAATTTGTATGGCTTAAAGGGTGTTTTTGAAAATGATTGTGAAAATTCGCAAATAATTCCCGTGACAAATTCATATTGATGTAAACACTTTAACTTTATTTTTAAAATCTTCCTTAATTGAGGATTTGAACACTTTAGAAGGCAATGAAAAAGACTATAATTGAAGAAATGTTCTTGAAAATAGTCGGGAAAATTCACAAATAATTCTCCTAACAAATGTACATCAAAGATAATAGCACTTCAACTGGATTTTAAATGATACATAATTGAGGATTTGAACACTTCAGAAGGTTATGAAAAAGACTGTAGTTGAAGAAATGAATTAGTAAAGGAAATATCCAATCGAAATATCAACAAGTTGCTGAAAAACAGATAATTATATAGTTTCTCAAAACATTATAATTATAAAGAAATTCAGGGTAGGATTTTGGTGCTAATATCATTTTTTTAACCTGTTTTTACTAGAAGAAAGGAGACATAAATCAAAGATCATGTGCAAAAACTTCATGAAATGAACACCTGTCATAAGTACTATTTTACTTTAAACATAGACAGAGTAAAACCATATTTTTAGCAGCTAAAATCTATACAGCTTGCAAAACCATGAGTCAATTATTTTTTTGAGATTTGCAAATCTAGACCTCTTTCAAAAATTGCCACAAGTTTCATGCATGCAAAATTTACTAATTCCATAACAGTCACAGTGGAAAGATACCAGTCATGGAAAGGCAGAGCATTTCTCTGGGCATTTTTTTTGTTGCAAGAGAGCAATTATTTTAAAAGCTACGTGATCTCTACTCTACCTTTTAAGGATGTAAAAAACACTAGGTGTTCTGTAAATGAAGTATTTTACTCCTCTGAATTTGTTTGCTCATTCGTAGAATCTACAAGCTCGGTAAAAAGAGATCCACTTCATGTTAGCAAACACATGCAGGAAGGGATAGGAAGACCATCAAGTGAAAAGACACTCTTCAAAAATAGCCCCAGCTCAGAGATGGATTAGTAACTGGGTAGAAAAGAGCATTGGTCCTCCAACCATCTCTTTAACGTCACTTTGTAGCTTATTGGCTTTTTCAAGGCAAGCGGTGTAACGGCAGATACGGTTTCCTAGGTGGGTTTGTACCTACATAAAACCCACAAGACACTCTGCAACTCTAGTGAATAAAAAAGTAACCCAGTCACCGAAACAGGGTCCTCTTTCAATCACTCTTACATATAATAACACTAATCAGTCAGACCGCAGGTCGTATGCTAATGAGCAAAACCGGCCTGTTTTATTTCCAATCCCGCGAGCGCTCGCTCCTGGCATCTAACGTCTCGCGAGTCACGAGATTTTTGTACCGTGTACTGCGAGTGCAGTTTAAGAGAAAACCACGCTTTCTGCGGTCGCCATGTTTAGGTGAGTACATAGTCCGTTTTCTTGTGTCTATTATCGTTCTTTTTCTGTAAAATTTGAGTAAAATTTCGTATAGAAAACACGTCATAACCACACGCCTCTCTTTAGGAACTGTTTTTGCAAGCCTCTAAATGTTGCTGGATCCTGACCCTGTCATAAAATGTACGATTTTAATTTGTTTTTAATTGCCATCTGCAGATGTTGACGATTCCATCGATATGTAATTTGTCCCGGCTCACAAATTAACAATATGAGTATTTGCCCCCCTAAAGTTATGAATATTTAATTAGTTGATCGTCTTGAAACCGTGAACGATGTGCACAAAGTCACGTGTTACCGGAATCCGAACTTAAGAGGCCATTTTCGATGAACGGTCAAGTTTTTATAGTGTAGTCCCGCGTACTTACATTTTTGTGTTTAAACCACTCGTTAGGTAACCAGTCGCAAACATTGAAAGAAAAGATCGTAGAGTCGAATTCATGAAGCAAATATGTTATGAATTTATCAAATTTACATATATAACCGTAAAAAATTATATGGTTAATAAAAAGGTCTTCCAAATTCTATATATTTTTGCTAGATCAAGGTAAGGAGATTGATTTGATGTAGATTGTGTCTTGACTTGAGACTGAGAAGTGAGAGTTGAGTGATCAGTGATGATGTGATGTCTGATGGTGATGGAGCCAAGTATTTGCACTTGCAGTTTTAAACGTCTAGTAACAGTAACTTAGATCATGACATGGGTGAGAATCTATGATGAAAATCAAGCAAGACCCAGTTTTTTTATTATCAAAATCAGTTTGTAATTAACTTGGGTCACAGCATGCAGCAGCCTGTGCATCTGCCATGTCTGGGCGCTGCGCCTGCGGTGACTATTCAGACTAGTTTATCCTATTCTCAAATTCTTTCAAGTTTCATATCTCACTCTCAGATTCAAAAGTTTCAATTGTCAGAGCAAGGTCATTAGCTACCAATCTTGAAAGTTGAAATGGCCCTAGAATTCCATTTATCATGGTGATATTGCAGTGATCCATTAAATTGAGCTGTGTTGAACCGAGATTGAAGGCACTTTTGCCCCCCCTGAATTTTACCAATCTTTCTGGTGTAGATTTAAACGTAGTTAAATTTCTGCTTTTTTTTATCAACAGTCACTTATTCTTAGTTTCTTTTGTTTCCCTTTTTTTCGTTCCATGTAGGAGATGGCAGATTCATGTATATGGTGACTCAATTGTTCGTGGTGTAAGTTTTGATCAGGATCAGTTTGGTGGCAAAATATTCTGCTATCCGGGTGCCACTGTTAGGAATCTTCGACAGATAATTAGAGCACAAACAGACTTTGACTCCACAGTGGATGCAGTTGTAATCCATATTGGAACTAACAATCTCGGCAATAGTGTCTGGGAAAGAACTGGAGGACAATATAGAGATTTGATTTTTAGTGTACGTGAGAAGTACAGAGAATCAAGAATATTTGTTTCCGCAATCTTGCCTCGTTGGGACGATGACAGTTTTTATGAGCAGTCTCTTTATTTTAATTTGAAATTACATTGTTTGACTAAAGAATTTTTCAATTGTACTTTCGTCGATTGTACTCGACCTTTCTCCTTTTCATTTGAGCGCTTTAATTTTGATGGATTACATCTGAACAAGCGAGGGAAAACCACCTTTTCAAAGGAACTTTCTACCATATTACTGAGGAATCTTGATCCTGTAAAACCCACAGCAAAGAAGTACGTGCCTGCAGAACTGTTAATATTATGGACCCCTCCACGTAGAAGAAAATCCACCTGTACACAACACCAGCCTGCACAACACAAATCAACCATCTCATCGGAATCCGGCCCACCTAACTCATCAGAATCATCCAACTCCTCCAAATTACCCAAATCATGCGTAGCGCCCACTTTATCTACGCAATGTAGCGGACAACCAAAGACAATGCCGAGGCCAAGGAGAAGGAGGAAGAAGAAGAGGAAAAAACATGTGGAGAAAGACGAGTTGGGGTTCATGACCCACAAAAAGCCTGCCCGACAACCAGTCCGGCCCCCAGACCTTCCTCCAAACATGTTCATCCCGGATGTTTGTCCAAGATGGTCCATCCCTTACAAGCACCTCGGTCAAGGACCTCTACGTTCCCCCTGTGAGCTGCCAGGAATTACCCATTCTCCTTACGTCCACAGAAGACTACGAGGGAAAATGAAACGTCGTCATCTAAACGCGAGCAAACGTCAAAGACGGCGTAGAAAGGTATCTTAGCTCATGGCACATTAGTATTTTTGAGTATGCAGTTTTCTCATTATAGTTGTCATTGTACAGAAATCAGGGCAGCGTTTCATCAAACCATCATGAGTACAATTTCACCGACATCCCATTGAAACCTGTGTATTAAAATTAACACGCACTTCAATGGGATGTCTGTAAACTTGTGCTTATGACGGTTTCATGAAACGATGCCCAATTGCTCTTGCCCAACCTTGCCTAGTACCCTTATTTTAAAGTTCATATTCCACCCAATATTAAATTTTTCTTGAAATGTTTGTTCAAAAATATTTGCTCTACTTTGTATGTGCACATTATGAAGGGTCATAAACCGATTGGGGACATGTGGGACAAGAAATATCCCGTCTCTCCTTTTATTTGCATTTACACATTTCATTCATATGTAATTGATATACATGTACTCATATTTATTTTTGAGTTACATGTAAATGTCATTTTGTTATGTTAATATTTCAATTTATTTTTGGACTGAGAATCAATTTGTTCATTATCCCTTTTTTTCTTTTTTTCCCACTATTATTTCACAGATTTCATACAGACGGTATCTCTGCATCCTCAGTAACCTTCCCAAGTTTGTGCAGCAGGGGTAAAGCCTTGCAAGAAGGAGCAGTGTGGACCCTGTGCCTTATGCAAACGTTCATCCACAAGGTATTGTCACCTGGTGACCATCATATCAACGACACTCAAGGCGGCAATTGTGGCTGCTCATCCAAGTACCAAAGACACAGACTGCATATGCAACGCCTGCCGGATTAAGTATAACAACAAAGTAAAAGATTCAAAATATACACCAGAAAAATCTCGTGAAAAAGTCAGGTCTCAGTTATGTATTCTCTCAAATGAGGGGCGGTGTCAGAGCAATTCTCAAGTTGATTCAAATATTTCTGTTGAACAATTCAATCGTGCATTTGACCTTCAATATTTGTTGTTGCCCTCCCCTACACCTTTGTGCCATCAACATAGATTAGAAGTTGTGCATTTCAAAGAACTCACAGAATGTGCTGTCTGTAGTCACTTGTTGAAAGTAAGTCAGTCAACTAAATTTTATAGGTTGGATGAATGTGAAAAAGTAAGCATGGAAAAACTGTTACTTATTAATGAATGCTTCAGAGCTAATGAAGGAGATCTGATTTGTAAACAGTGCTACAATTTTTCATCTAGACAACAAGTTCTAACAGACTTAGAAAAAACTATAGATAGCATTGAAACCACTCTTTCAGAGGTGAGCCATGATGAGGAAGATTCTGTTACGCCCAAATCCATTCTTAAGAGATTGTGTAAAAAAACTTTCAAGGAAATATGTAAATGGTTGAAAAGTTGTTGTGGATTTTTACTAGCAGATGCATATGATTATTTCTTGAGGGAGTTGGAAAAAGTCTTGGACAAGAACTCTGACAAATATGAGCAATGTTCAAAAAAAGGTAGCTGGTTATTGAGTAGAATATTGGGCAAGTTTGGATGTATATTATCTGTACACAAATCCACTAAAAAGAAGGGTGTTTTCTTGTATCTGACTTCTGCCACTATGGAGCAGTTGTTAGAAAGCCTACATAATGCAAATTCACACTTACGGTTGTTGAAAAAAGGTAATGTCAGACAAGAAGATGATATTTCAACCCTACCTTTGGAAACCAAGTCTCAAACACTAGACCATATGTATCGTGTACTCATACTTGAATGCAATACGAGACTTAAAAATCAATCTAAGAGAATTAAAGAATACTATACTAGGGACCCTCTGTCCATTGATAAGTTCAATTTCAATGAAGCTCTATCATCTTTTGATCCTGTTATTTGGAATGTTGTATGTCTTCTTACCTCAAATTCTGAGGAAATACATGCTTTCAAAAAGACATCTTTGCATGTAGCTAAGGATTTACTTTCATTTCCTAATGATCATACACCTTTTGGGATGCAAAGAAAGATCAGACGAATTGTACTAGTGTTCATACTCCAATTTGTGCTTAGCGAGTCGTGCACATATCCTTTTCATGTAATTATGGCTAATGTAATTAAGGGACTGACCCATTCTTCTACCCTTATTACCATAGGGAACAGATTAGGATTTTGTTGTTCCGAGGACACATTAGAAAGGCTTTTGCAAGCTGTAAAAGATTCTAGAGAAGTTAATGGTCCTTTAGATCTGCTAGATTTACAAGCTGTTACACATGTCACAATAGATAATATAGATGTGTTGGCTTCTCATGCTGCCGTGAACCCCAACCAACCAAGGAGTTGGCATGGTACATCAATAATGGCTCAGCAGCCAAAGCCATTTTCTGAACGTTTGGATCCAAAATATGAATTGTTAGATCATGTCACCACTCAACATGATAGAAGTAACCTAAAATCCAACAAAAGAAAAAAAAAGCCATCAATAATGGCTCAGCAGCCAAAGCCATTTTCTGAACGTTTGGATCCAAAATATGATTTGTTAGATTGTGTCACCACTCAACATGATGGAAGTAACCTAATATCCAACCAAAGAACAAAAAAGCCATCAGCTCGGAAGAAAATCAAGTTGAATCATGTTCCCAGTCATCCAAGCAAAGATGATTTCATGCCAACACAGTTCAAAACCAACGTGCAGTCTCAGCTTTCGTGTGATTCATTTGTTTTATCGGAGGAAGAGGTGGAATCCCTAACTCAAGTTCATAATGATATGATACTCTTTATGTGTGAAAGATTTGTTTCTGTTGAAAGTGATCAATCTTCTTTACCTATTGTTCCAGGCTTTAAATGCAAACTTCTTTTAGACTCGGACAATGTAGAAACTGAGATTTCTAAGTTTTCCTATATGTATGTGCTTGATGAGCCAGCAGACTCGCGTCAAACTTTATTAAGATCACTTCACCTCTTGTACGATTCATTCAAAGTATCTAAAGACATTAATCACCTTGTCGTCGCTGGTGATGGTGCCACTTTTAAACTTATTCTTGACATCAAACAGGAATATGGCGATTCCATGGAATGGTTAATACCATACATAGGTGACTGGCATCTCCTCAAAAACTACCAAGAAGTGATAATGAAAATATTCTGGGATTCAGGGCTTAAAGATCTTGCCAAATCAACACACAAGAATATGACGCTTAACAGTCTATCCACCTGTTCCAATTTTAAACGTACTCATAGATTTCTATTACAGGCTCATGAAGCTATATTAATGTTACAGTTTCAGTGTTTTCTTGACCAGAGAAATATCACTGATGACTCTGAGGCTCTTTCTAATACATTTTTTCTGGACAGTGTTAAATCTTTAATACAGTCACTTGTAATTAAAGATGGTAATATTGATGCAAGCACTTTCAAAGATTTGCAATCAGAGTTTTCCCAGTCCCCAATGTTTACATCAATGAAAGAAGAATTCCTTGTTTTTCGTAAGGAAATGTCAGACAAACTAGAAACTTTTAGGTTTTGGGATAGATTTGTGCATGAAGACTGCATGGCGTATATTCATCTGTTCATTGCAATTCGTTCACGTAACTGGCATTTAAGAAATGCAGCTGTAAAGGAGATGGCTCCATTATTTCAAGCCTGTGACAGGCAAAACTACTCTAAAATGATCCCTTTGCACATAGGTTTTATGCAGGCATTACCAGACTACATACTGAGGCATTTTGAAAATGGTGCCTTTGCTTCTAATATCAAGGGAACAGAGTTATCATCTCTAGGTCTTGATGAGGCACACGAGACGACAATTAACAAGGATATTAAAATGTCTTGGTCACGTAGTTTGCCAAAGAATATGGATAGAATAGCTGGCACGATCCAATACCAAGCAAAACTCATCTCTAATATTCAGGATGAATTAGACGTGTTTACACCAAAGAAGATTGTCCTTCATCGTGATCTTTCTCCGTCTGTTATAAAAGCAGAATTTGCTAATGTAAAAATGTATTTTGGTAAATTGTTAACAACACAGATGTTTTTACCAAATCAAGAGCCTCAGTTGTATCATGTCTTTACTAATGTGCCTGCTACCAAGGACCAACAGGCAAGCCTTCTGTCATATCGTCAAATTGGTCAAGATTCTTATTTACTTTTTTGTAAATTTCAAATCTTAAAAGATTCTAGCAACAAGAAGCCTGTTACCCGAAGGCACAAGCTCAAAACATTTGCTAAATCTAAAGTAACACGAAGAAGAATGACAAACCTTGAAAAAGAGAAAAAAATGATAACCTTGTGTTACAAGAGAACAATTGCTTTCTCAGAAGATAAAGGCTTACCTATCAGTACCCTTTGTCAATTTGTAGAGAAGCCGCGTGCTATTTGTAACTCTAACGACTTACCTCATAAAGGTGCTAAATGGGTTATGTATGACATTTTCAATAAGAGATATGGTGAGAAATTTGATATCATTACATGTAACCCTAAAATAACATTGCCAGGAGCTTGCTATATAGCAGAAGGGATGAATATCATTTATACCAGCCCTTTGAGACAGTTCAAGACGTTTTTAGATTATGCAACATTTTTAGTCCGTCGTTGGATACTTTCTAGCTACAGAAAAGGCTTTATTGATGTAAGAATATTATTTGACCAAGTGGATACACAGGGATTATCACCCAAAGCAATAGAGCGTTCTAGGAGAGATGAGAGTGGTGATGATATAGAAGCAAACTACAATAATATAGCAGATGATACTGTCCTTCCTGTGAACTGGTTCAAATTTTTAAAGGTCAGGACACAGAAACATTGCCTAATTCGATATTTGTCAAGCAAATTCATTGAACTTGTTAAGGATCAGTTGTTAGATAATCAAATATTCATAACATCTGGAGGATTTCATGTAGGGCTAGAAAAAAGACCAAATTGGACAGGTGTCAAAGTGACAAAGAAAGGTACTGAATATCACTCCTTAATTCACAATCATGAAGAAAGCGATACACAGATTTTTCTTCATGTTTTTGATACGCAATGTACAGATATATTAATATATTCTATTGATAGGGACATTGGTATCATTGGTTTACCCTTGGAATTTGGGAGCAAGACTGTGTGTATTCAGTATAGATCTAAAGTTGGTGAGGAAAAGTATTTAAATATCAATCTCTTACAAACTGCAATAATGACAGATTCTGACCTTTCATGTATAGTTGATAAAGATATTAGTATTCTCAAGTGTGTGCAAATGATATATATCTGCTCAGGATGTGACTTTGTGTCCTATTTTGCGCATGTAGGAAAAAGTATGTTTTTCAATGTATTTGTGCAATATGCCTCCTTCATTTCAGGTGACAGCATTGATACTTTGTTAGGAAATTTGACATGTTCCACAGTAGGATCAGATAGTGACAAGGGTCTTCTTTCCTTTTATAGGTTTATATTGTGTGTTTATTTTAAAGCAAACAGAGCCTTTCTTCATGACTATGATTCACCCTTACAACTTTTTAACACAGTTTCTGGTACTTCAGTACTTATACATCATCAAGAAGCATTAGCTATAGTCCGCAAAGCTTCATGGATAGGGACGTATGAGGACCAACTTCTTCCATCAAACACAGCTCTTCGCTTTCACTGGCTTAGGGCATGTTGGGTTAGCTCTGTATGGGGGCAGTGCACAATACCACTTTTTCAATATCCAGATATTGGTGCACATGGTTTTTCTGTTTTAGTCGAGAATGGAATTTCAAAAGTTGATATAGTTTGGGATTCAAAAGAAAACATTAAGGAGATACAAAATAATGTTGCCTATCTTACTCGAGGATGTTCATGTGCCAAAAATAAATGTTCTAATAAAAGATGTAAATGCAAAAAACAAGGTAACTTTTGCGGACCTGGCTGTACATGTAGAAGCTGTGAGAATGTAAAAACAACACATTTACAGAATCCTACCTCTGTGTCTTTAATAGAATCTGATAACAGTGATGATTCTGATTATACATCTAGTGATGAAAGTGATTTGGAAATTAATGACAGAGATATGCAGGTTGATGATGATGTACATGTCTTTGAGACCTCTGAAGGTAATGTAAGGGAAGCTGAGATAACAGATTTTTCTGAAGATGAAACAGAATTGGTTTAAATACTGACTGATATTACTTGTCAGAATGTTTAAGAGTTATTGCTCGGCATTTGTATTCTATTTTATATATGTTTGTATTCAGAGTTTTATTTAGTTATGTACATGTACATGCTGCCTCATTGACGTAATTACTGGTTATTACAACTTAATATGTATTAGAACTTTTGTTACATTACTGTCAGCTTTTTATCAAAGAGATTTACTAGTAGATATGTTGTCTTCATATACATGCCAGGTGTTTTCAGTTACACCCATATTTATAGTGGTTATTAATTCTAGATTGTTTTCTTGAGCACATGCATGTTCATTATTATATTATATTCTAGAGTTGAAGGAAGTGTAAACAAAATGTTACACTGCTATCTAGTATCTACATGTATCTTGTATTCTGCTTTTTAAAATAAGATGAAACTTGCCAGCTGACGTTTTGAATGCTATGGAGACACTTTTTTTTCTACTAGCGTTTGTACAATCTTTCTTTTCTTGCCAAAGAAGGTTCTATCTTTTTGTTTGAATAGACTCTCTGAGATATTTAAATACCGTTGATCTGTATGCAATTATGTTTATGTTTGGATCATGGTATGCTTTACTTTTAACAAATGTTTTGTTTGCATTTGCTGTCATGGTGATCAGTATTGGTCACAGGGAGTCTTTCTTTATTTTGTCATATTGTACAACTCTGCATATATGTATGTATTTCCACATGCACGGTGTTTTCAGTTACACCCATATTTATAGTGGTTATTAATTCTAGATTTTTTTTCAACACATGCATGGTCATTATTATATTTTTTTCTAGAGTTGAAGGAAGTGTACCGGTAAACAAAATGTTACATCTACATGTACATGTATCTTGTATTCTGCTTTTAAAATAAGATGAAACTTGCCAGCTGACGTTTTGAATGCTACATGTATGGAGACACACTTACATGTACTTTAAAAAAAAATTATTCTACTAGCATTTGTACAATCTTTTCTTCTCTTGCCAAAGAAGGATTCTATATTTTTGTTTAAATAACTCTTCAAGATATTTGAATACGGGTAGTCTGTATGCAATCATGTTTATGTTTGGATCATGGTATGCTTTACTTTTAACAAATGTTTTGTTTGCATTTGCTGTCATGGTGATAAGTATTGGTCACAGGGAGTTTTTCTTTATTTTGTCATATTGTACAACTCTGCATATATGTATGTATTTCAAGGAAGTAAATTATTTTCAACATTGTTATAAAAAAAGGTCATGTCACTACTACGTTACTCAAATTGCCATTTAGCATAGATGGATCAGGAAATGCAATTTGTATTAGTTCATTAGTTATTCATAGTACCATTCCAGCACACCTCACTTTTAATTACTTTGTTTATACTCTTGCCAAAGAAAGTTATCCGGGTAATAAACCATTATTATAATCATGTACACATATCACTTGATTATGGTTTATGAATATGCAATTGTTAGCAAAAGGAATTGCGAAATATTATTTTGTTTTGGGAACAAGGCAGTTGCTTCATCTCCTTGACACATTTGTATTGTATTTTCACATTTTTTCTTTATGGTGGTTACTGGTAGATGTCTATTTCAACATTATTGTTGTCAGTTTTTTTTGGTACTAGACTTTCAATTTTGTTGATAAAAAAGACCTTGCCAAATATTTGTGTGTGACTTAAGAACAAGCCCATTTTATGTGTGTGATATTTTTTCACATGATATTGTATTTTTAAAGATGAAACCTGTACATATGTTTTTATATTAAAAAGCCTTTCACAAGTCAAATTTTTTTCTCATGCTCCTTGTAATTCTGTAAATATTGTTTCAAGAATGAGCGGTACAGAGGCCTACGAGTAAAAATGAGTGGTAGGTGTTATAGTTGGAAGAATAAGAGCGAGATGGATGCGAAAGCATGGAATATGAAAGGGAGAAGTAATGAAGTGATCAAGGTTAATGACCATACCTTTAAATTCCAACAATAACTCCAGCAGTGCAGTCATTAAAAAATGTATATATTATTTTGTGATTTTGGAGGATGAGTGCTGTAAGTCTAGGTTACTGTTAATATAATTAGACTCCAAAAAAAGTCCAAATAAATTAGAGTCTAACCCACTCGATCTAGTAATTGCTGAGCAGCAACTTGATTTCACTAAGGGCAAATAAATTCATAATGATGACAATATCTTTGACGGAATAATTCACGTAACTGCTGCCTGTGAGCTGTTGTGGTCCCATGGTCCTTACCGAGTGACTGCGACTGAGCTGAGATTGATGTGTTCACGCCATTCACGCAGTTCTGAACAGTACACACATTTAGTAGAGTGGGACTGATTTGGTCACATTGGTGTCGGTAAATTCAAGAGATATATTTAGCCTACGGTATCAAAATGTATTTCTTTTCGAAGCACCTCACTTTTTCAATGTATTATCCTGATTTAAATGAGAATAGTTTGTAGGAGAAATGCACAATTACATGGAATAAATAGCGGACTGTAGCAGACAGATTCGTTCCGGACCGTTCTGAGTGAATTACGTCATTGTAGGCTGCTCGCTCAACCAATCAGGGTGCAGGAATTTTTCGCGAGGGCTCGTTTTGTTCGAGAACGTCTTTTGGTGAATTTTTCGGGGACAATGTTTAACATTTTGCTGGATCCTGACCCTGTCATGAGATGAATCATCAAATATTTAGGTTCATTAGAAAGGTGAATATATGTGGATTCGGAATATTTATATGGCAATTACGTCTCGGGGTTTAAAAAAAAATTATAACGGTAAATATAAAACCTTGTGATTTGTGAATGTTTGGCAATATCTTATTACAAATATGAATCCTTTCCGACAACCAATTTCATTAAAAATATATATGTACAGAAATGTTGGGGTTTCATCTTGTAAAATCTAAAGACAGAAAATGAAAAAAATAACTAAGAGCGAAACTATGAGCGTTTGCAAAAGTGTGTTTCACAGCGGCTTCAGAGGTCAGACGAAGGTCACGAGATCGTCGCTGGAAATAAAAGAAGCACATTTTTTCGGACCTGCGGACTGACTGTAATAATATAATATGTCTTGTTTATCCAGGGTAGCCTCATCAGTATTCATACTGTTCTCCCTGAGGGCCCTGCAATCATATTATTACCCCGGTCATCGGATTCAGGCTTACCTGCACACAATGTATGCACATTTTCCACTCCCTGGGGAGCATTCCAGCGAGTGCATCATTTTTACAAGCGCACACTATGGCTTTCCATATAGCATGCATGGCTTTTGACGAAAGTGGCTTTTTTGTTCCCTTGGTGGATTTGGTACCGACATCGAAAATCTACCAGGCAACCTGGTGCTCATATGAATTAGAAATCAATACTGTCACCAAAAGATTGGGGGGCCAAGATTCAGCTTTTGGGCGCCATTAGGCGGTTTCCAAGAGAAAATATACTTTAAACAATTTTGAGGGCTACTTCTCAAGCTTGCTTGCATGAAAATAACACTCTTTAATTTTTTTTTGCATTGAACTCTATGCAAATTTTGGGGGCTTTTTTATGACTTTCGGGGGCTCTTTTGGGCATTTCGGGGGCTACTTCGCCCTGAGCCCCCATGTATATTTTTCACTGGCGGTTTCTTTAATCAACTTTAACATTATTTTGTGCATTTGAAGCCAGAACGGCATTACATCTCTGTAAAATCAGATGAGCGAGTTAACGCCCTTCTGGCTCTCAATAGATGAACACAAAAGGCCTTTTCTCATCAGCTCGAGATTGCCAAATAGCCCGCTATTTCTGATTTGGGAAATAATCCCGAAGTTACAAATCACGTATTCATCAGCTCGAGATTTGACCTCGAAACTCGAAACTTGACCTTGAGAAATTAGCTCAGAGATATTTTGCTCAGCATTCGCGCATAGTGCGAGTCTTCGGTCTGGTGAAGACGCACCGGACAAATAGCTGGATATTTTGCCAAATAGTGGGATACTTTGTAAACTATCCCAAGATATCTTGGGATGACAATCCCGACCAAATATCCCGCTAATTGTAACTTCGGGCTGATTAAGACGCAAATTAGCTGGATATAGTTTGCGATCGGGATAGTTCAAATAGCGGGATATTTGGCAATCTCAAGCTAGTGAAGACAGGCTTATTACATAGTGACCATCTGCAAATCCGCCTGGCCAATTTACAGACAGTGGTAATATCTGCCTGTCAATACAAGTGACAGCACCAAATCTGCCAAGGGACCTATAAGCTATCTCACAGGTACTTTCCCACTTTTCACACTTGTTTTCTTGTTTTTCTTTTCAACTTCAGAAGAAGAAAACGCATTGTGTACAGAGCCAACCACTCGATAATAAGCCCCATTATCTGCTCAGTCCTGTTGCTAGACAACAACAAATACACCAATACTATCTATAAAGTTGGAAGAATTCAAGTTGCCATTTCTTGGTGTGCAGTTGATGATATACCTGGGTAGATACTTCTCTTTCTCATTTCTGCATACTAAAAATCTCTACATGAATATACACTCACAGGATATGAAATCTAACCTGAAGTGTAGGATCTTATGTTTGACATGACATACCCCCCGCCGCACCCCCCCCCCAAAAAAAAAAAAAAATCCAATTTCACAATGTTGAAATTTCTGCATGGTCTTTTACTTCAATATAAAGAAGAAGTTTTCCCTAATATTACTCAATAGAATATTCACAAATAATTTGTGTTTATATACGTTTTTGTTACTTACCTGTGTGAGGTACATGTATGGTTACGAGAGTGAGCAGTCAGCACAAAGATGGGGGTACATGGAAGAGAAAGAAAAACAAAGATATGAAATTTGTTAGATCAAATTTTGAAAACAGGTTATGATTATGCTCAGTAGAGCAGAGAAGACATATACATGACTACATTTTAATGTTTACAGAACTATAAAGTAGGATTAGATGTTCCTTAATGTCTCTCGCATGGAAGTTTCCAGACTTCCGCGCGGCGTGAAAATGTACAAACCTCAAAGAAATCATTTCGATAACGCTGATAGCTACCCTAACAGCATAATCCCTACCTATTTAAAAAAAGGTTAAACCACAATCCCATATTATTTCTTCTTTTCACCTGCAACTTTGCAGACTTTTACATCATCAAATTGTACTGAAATGACCACAATTTATCAAAGTCGACCCTGCCTGAAGCGCTTTTAATTATGTTTTCTGATCTTTAAATAGTTCCCTCTTGCACGAGGCTAAATAAAGACCTCTTTCTTTGGGCAGTATATAAGTGGTCACCAAAAAAGCTAAATTGTTTATTATGAGCCAACTTTGATGGCACCTAATGATGCGAAACTAACGACTATTACAATCCAGAAAGGTTGCCGGTGGCGACAGGGTTTGACCGAGCAAAGAGAAATATATTACCGACGAAGTTGGCATACCTGTTTAATTCAAAAGGCTAAGAGAAGGAGAGCTCAATCACTACCTTTTTTAATCAAGGGTAACTTTTGTTTCATGAAACAGGGCCCATGCATGC